TTTAATTTTATTTAAAAAATTGTAAATACTTTTCAAAATTCCAGGCAAATTTGCCTGGAAAACAGTTGAAGGGATAAGAACTAAGATTAGGACCTTATATTAGCTCTATATTATATTATATATAAAAAATAATAATTCTTAATTTTCTAATTCTAACTCTAAATTTTATTAAAAGCAATTATATATAAGTGCTAAACTACTATAAGTGCATTTTATAATAATTGTTGATTTTTTGTAACAACTACTAAACCAAATTAGCTAAAAATTTTACTAAAAAGATATAGTATAATTTTGGGCTATAATATATTAAATTTATCCAATTTGGATTAGTAATTCTTAAAAAATTGCTTAAAAACTTTAAATAATTTTTTAAAAAATTGTATAATTTTTAAACAATTTTTCAAGAACACCTAATCCAAATTGGCTAAAATTTTAATATGTTGTAGTCTAATATTATATTTATTTTTAGTAAAAATTTTAGCTAATTTTGTTTAGTAGTTGTTAAGAAAATTAGAGCTAAATGTTAATATCTATATTAATAAAATAACTATATAATAAATAGATTTTATATAATTGTTTTTAAAAAATATAATAGTGAATATAAGCCAATTGTGCTTATAAAGAGATATATAATCAATATAAAAAAAGGTAAAATAAAACTGTAATTATGTTGATTTTGTGACTATAGAGGAGGTGACTATAAAGAGGTTTGACTATATATACAGTAGTATATTATTATTTTAATTATTTATATATACTAAAATTAACTAATTTTAATTTAAAATTTTATAATATTTACTAAAATTTATTTATTTTTTTTTATTTTATTTTTTTTAATGTTAAAGGTGAGACCAATTTACTAAAATTTACTTGGATTAACACTTCTAATTCTAAATTTTAATCAAAAAAAATTAAAAAATGGCTTGAATCAAGAGGTACAAGGTTCTTGGGCATGTTTTGAAATTAAAAGCATACTCTTTTATTTGATATTTAGAAAACATACATTAAATAAATATGGCTTCTAATTTAATATTATAAATATTAACTGCTACAAAAATAAACTTTGATATATATGGTAAGTGAATCTTGGATACAAGAAAGTTGCCGGGTCCAATCAGAACCTTTCTTATATCGGATTCTCATACCGAGGTTTCTCATATCGGGAGTTACTTATATATATTTATGGGGGCATTCCACTAGTCCAAGGCATACGCAAAAAATTTCCCGTGCCCCTCACCCTAATCAAATCCAGAAAACATAATTCCGACAGACAAAATCCCGAAATGAATTAAACGGAACTATAGCTAACGCTAGCCTAATGCGGCCTAACCTGTCAGAATTTTGACCGGCTCCAACTATATATAGTAGTGAATTATTACAAATTTTGATATTATTATAATTCGTCATATTATCTAAAATTAAGTAAATTACTCTAGGCCCATCTAAATCTACACACAAAAATGAAGATATACCTTCCAGCATTTCACAAAGTTCACTGATGAATGTCTATTATTATAAAAACCGAATAACTAATAAATTTGGACGATGAATGATAATTAATTTGTCTAAATTCTGATACCATTGAGACTTTTTTCGGCATGTGATTTTTGTACGAATCAAAAGATTGCGATTACGGGGGTGATCTGACGCGAGAGAGGATATCTATATACTGTACGTATAACGTGATCTATTTTGTTTAATATAATTTATTGTTAATTAATTAATAGTAATTGATTAATAATAATAATAATAAATACATATATATATATATAGTTATATAAAACTATTATTAGTTTATATAAAGGGGCTTGGTACATACAAATCTAACAAACGAAATTTCGAAAATCAGTCAGAATTGTAGATAATACTAGTTATATAGTGTATTATAGATCCCATGTAAATATAGAATTGTTAAATATGATTATTTATATTGAAAAAATAGACTAATAGTCGGGTTCTGAGATATTTTAAATTTTTGCTATGAGACCGAAAAAAATTGACGTTATGTGGGTGGCCTTATAGGTAAATAGAATGATAGATAGATAAGATAGGTAGGTAGATAGATAGATAGATAGATAGATAGAAAGGTAAATAGAAAGGTAAATAGAAAGGTATATAGATAGATAGACTGATTCAGTAAATATGTAGTATATTTTATTTATAGTATTATAGCAACTACGTATTATTTTTACGTATAAAATTGCAAACTTTATAAGGTTATAAATTATATATACTGTATAGTATATATATATTATTTTTAGTTAGTATATACAGTATATATTAATACAAATTTTGAAAGAGTTATTTAAATTAATAATAAAATTTGAGTTTAAATAAGATGCGTATTTAGAGTAAGAATTAATAACAAAATTTGTACGTAAATAAATTGTTACGTATAAATAGATTTGAATAAGATAGTATTCTTATAAATAAGGTTTTTATTTTTTTAAAAAAAAAAAAGAAAAAGAAAGCACGACTCAATAAAATAAAATATTGTAAATATTGTACAACATATTAAATACTTTTGATGAAGCTTTGTATTTAAAGCAGGACCTGGAGTTAATAGAGCGAATTAGTGTTAATCTATGCGTGAATAAGACATAACATAAACCATTTTTGGCAAACAATGAAGAATTAGCAAATTTTGATTTTTTATTCATTCTTCTGTTGATCCAATGAACTATGCGAATTTATTGAAGAAATTGAGTTAATTGATGGGACAGCATGCATTTATTTATTTCAGACATTAGTTATTTGTCTTTTCTAAAAATTGTTTTCGGAACAGTTAATTAGAACAATTCTTTGATAGAATTTAATTATTTCTCAAACTGTAAAGTGTAAATGTTACAAATGTTCTCTTTTTCAATAAGACCAAAGATTTATTTATATTCGTGTAGCAAGTTATTTCAATTTTCAATTAGTGTGTTAGAGTGCGCATATATGCAGTATAGTCGAGTTCTATTCCCTTTATAGTTGCTTCAGATCTTCGTGTTCTACCAGATCCCTAATTTAAATGACCTCGTGGGGGCCACTAACTAAATCTTTTATACGATGTGCATTATGCAAGTATTTCGCATTTAGATTTCACGCGGTAAATAAATATCTAAAATGTGTAATTATTAATATAAAACGCTTTGCATAACTATTTATGAAATTTTCACGAGTCTAACTATGTATGTGAGCCTTGATGGAATTTTTATGTTAGTGAATTTTATCACGCCTAAAATTCCATACTTGAAAATTATTTTATTTCGTATTATGGTATATTTAGGTATGTGTATCGCAATATTGCACATCTTACAGAATCACAAAATCGGAGAACTTACTATGTACGTACATATTCTGTGAATTACAAAATCGACTTACAACATAAAATCTACGATATGATGATATTTAAGGGTCAATTCTAATAATCTTTATAATTTTTACCCCGAAAATTGAATATCAACAGTACGGAAACCAGAGACAACCGGTTAAAGTATTATGTTGTGCCACATTTTTTTTCTATTCTTCAATCCTTAAGACTAACCTTATCGTCTCATTCGTATCATTTCTTTGTATCACAAAAATATGTTTTTATTCTTATGTACGCATACATTCACAATTTATTAAATCTAATGAAAACTTGTTTTTAGTTTTTTTTTTTTTTTCTTTCTTTCTTTCTTTCACCACTATCGAAAAAGAAAAAAAAAATTATACATAAATAAAGGTAAGATTATCCAAAGATCTGCTTATCCGCACTTATCCCCACACTTACTCATCTTTTTGCACGACTTCAATTTTCTCGGGTATTTATCCATCAAAAGTGCTGTATTTTAAGTAACTTACATAGCAGGTAAATTCTAATTTTATTATTGATTCTTGGTTGTTTGGTGAAACAAAGATTGGCGTATTATTTGCTTTTTTAAATTTTCATAAAAAATTTCGCAAAGCTAATTAAATATGTTATATAAACATATATCGATAATTTTTGAAAAAAATCCCTATATATACAACTCTCCGAATGAACACACGCATTTACCTTTTCTGGGTCTGATTGACTTTCATATATAAATATCGGCCCTAAATCTTTGTTGGCTTTAAATCCGAGATTGCAATCTTTATATCGCCTACTTGGACTCAAGTATAAAACTCAAGGTAGTAGCATTCTGCTTAGCTTGGCGTTGATTGCACATGGGAAGGAATCCTTCGATTGGTGATTTTATTTTAATTTTAATTAACCGATCTAAGTGATATAAGCAAGCCTTTTCGACAAAGCGTTCATCTGCCTATTTTTCTTTGCACGAAAAATTGCCAACAACTTTTTTTTTTAGTTTGCTCGCTAATTTGTATTTTGTATTTATTTATTTTTTATTTTTTTTCGTTTATATTTCGTTTTTCATTATGACAACTCCCACAACCTTCTTCGATTTACCATCCCTCGATTCCGATTATAATTTTTCTGTTATTCAACAACTTTTTAAACAACAAAATCTTCTTCAGCAGCAACAACAACAACAACAACAACAACAAAATCAAGTCGCAGAAACTGAAAACTCTTTCTCTGATCTTACTTTTCTTCCTTCACATCAACGACAAATTGAGGTTCAACCTACTTATTTTAATCAAGCTTATAACAACTCTTTTCCAATACAACAAACCTATATCTATAACCCAACAGCTTATCCTTCTCCACCTTTGGATAACTCTATAAATCTTCCCTCTCCTAGGGTTGAGTTTGAAGATAATAATAGGTCAATGAATTCAGATAATTCTAATTTAACTTCCTCATCTTCCACCGGCTTTCAAATGGATCGTCGTATGAATCTACCAATTGCTCTCCTCCAACAAGTAAAACTTGAACCAGGTTCTTCTGAAGGATCACCCGAAACATGGTCTCGAGTTTCAGCTCCTGAGACGTCCGGTACGACTCATTTTCCGTTCGGTTCATATTCAGCAAAGCCTGTCGATGAACGTGCGATGAATCCTGCATTTCAACAACCCATGGGTTATTATGGTCAACCTCAACATCCTGTAAATTTTGGTAACACAATGCCACCTACACCCCAGGATTATCCGATGCAGAACCAAAACAGAAACGTTACACATACTACGCCACTTCATTTTCATCAAAATCAGAGCAGACCTCCTCCAGTTCTAGCTCCTCAAACAATGATGACTACTTTCAGCTCAAAGACTGTTTCTTCGACTCCAAAAAGATATAAATGTAATATATGTCAAAAAAGATTTACACGCCCAAGTTCTTTGCAAACTCATACTTATAGTCATACTGGAGAGAAACGTAAGTCCAAAAAAAAATTTTTTTTCTTAATATTGTCGATTTTATGACTTTCGTTATACGACTTTAGTTATACAACTTCGTAATACGACTTTCGTAAATACGACTTTCGTAAATATGCAAATATTATTTGCAATGATCTCACATAATATAAACTCTAATTTCTTTTTAATTTCTTATCTAGCATTCAAATGTCCAGTTGAAGGCTGTGGTCGACACTTTTCGGTTGTCAGTAACCTTCGCCGTCATCAGAAAATTCACTCAAAATAATTTGATACAATTGTGACAGAACATAGTGATCATGATTGCTTTTTTTTTTTTTAATATTTTATAAACAATGCCAGGATGCATATTTTTGTAATTTATAATTATATAGTATCAAAAAAAAAAAAAATTATAATTAATATCAGAAAAAAACAACAACTTATTTCTGATTGTGTTTACATGTTGTAAACGTATATGTCATTTATTACTAATATTTTATGTTTTTTTATTATATGTAATTAGTTAAAAATATCAAAGCAAATTTAACAACTTTCCCTTTTCGAATTTACTTTTTCGTCTTTGATTAATAAGCATCGTTATCCTTATTAAAACCATATTTGTTTTCTTGGCGGTCAATATTACAGGAGAAAAATTTAAGCGTCTTTTAATTATTACGCGATAATTTTTGCATAATTGAATGACATTCGACTTTTTCCTTTCTCTTTTTACTATTTTTTTTTTTTCTTTCCCTTTTTTTTTTTTTTTTTTTTTTTTTTTTTTTTTTTTTTTTTTTTTTTTATTTTTAGATGTGTTTATTTAATAAAAAAAAATTTTAAGTTTATTTTAATTGTATTAATTTCAATTGTTAATA